CTAGAGCAAGCTGGCACCTTTTTCTCTCTCGGCAGCCTTCCTCACAGCATGATGGCCTCAGGGTAGTTGGCTTCTCACATGGCAGCTCAAGGCTCTAAGAGCAGTTGTTCCCAGAGACCATGGCAGAATCTACAAGGCCTCTATGACCTAGCCTTGGAATTCACATCATGTCCCTTCCTCTGTACTCTGTTGGTCTGAGCAGTCACAGAGCTTGCCTAAGTTCAAGGCATAGGACCCTTCAATGGGAAGAGTGCCAAAGAATTTGTTCCTACCTTTAAATAAAAGAGGAAGCTTTTTCTAAGTTAATTTATAAATTCCATGTAATCTCAATGAAAATACTAGAATTTTTTTCTTTTTATTTCATGATAATGATTCCAAAGTTTGTCAGGAAGAAATAGGAATAACAGCATAAGAGAATTTAGTGTATGATAAAGTGTGGGGAAAAGAGGGATTATCCAGTGAATGGTGTTGAGTTGGCTGGATAAGAATTAAAAATAAACCTGAATCCCTACCTCACTCCTTTTTTAAAATAAATTTGAAGTGAATCACAGTTTTAAATGTAAAAAGTGAAACCATTAAGTTCCAGGAGAATACATGGATTAATTATTTTTCAGTGGGGAAGGTGCTCATATGGGGTAGGGGGATGACCCACAGAGGTCATTAAAAGAAAAATTAGATAAAGCTGATTTCATAAGATTCAAAAGCCTCATGTAAAGATATTTGGCTTTACCCATATTTAAAGCAACTACATTAAAACAGACACTGTTTTCTTCCATACTGGCAGAAGCTAAAGCTTGAGACCCAGGGTTGGTACAGTGGCAGGAAATAAGAACAGTTACTGACAGAGCCTAAGAGTGCAGCTTTTTTGGAGAACATTTTAGCAATAACAATAAAAATGTAGAATGCACGTATCTTTTGACCCAGCAATCCCTCCTGATAGGCGTGTAAGAATTATGCACAGAGATGTTCACAGCAGCATCATTTATTTCCAAACTGGAAACAGTGAAAAATATCTACTGATAGGGAATCAGTAAAATAAATTATGGTACATCCACCTCGGTGAATGCTCTGCACTCACTGAAAATGGGGTGGATGGACCAAAGAACGAGCTCCAAGAAGTCTGTTGTTTTTAGTGACCATCTTTGGAGAAAAGGACCAGAATGAGGAAGATACACACTTTTCCCCCGAGATGCAGAATGTTTTGTTGTATGGGTATACGTGACGTATTTGTTTTTTCCAACATTTTATTATGAAAATTTTCAAAATATAAGTTGAAAGAATTGTACATTGAACACACATATACATACTATCTAAATTCATAATTTTATTATATTTGCATTGTCACTATTTAGCATCTATCAATCCATCTTATTTTTGAGGCATTTCAGAGTAAGTTGCAGACATCTTAACATGTCACCCCTAACATGTCAGCATGCATATCATTAGAGTCCAGTATTGATGTGTGTGTTCGTTCTTAAGGTAGATAATTTTCTAATCTGTCAAGGGGAAGGTTTCAGGAAGCCTCTTCTTTGCTTGAAAGTACAGGATGGGAGAGTGAAGTCGACAGAAGGGTGGAGCTCAGCGAAGTCAGGATCTGGAGTCCTCCCACCCAGGCCGAGTCCCGGGTCTGCCCCCAGTAGTGGTGGTACCTGGGGCAAGTCCCTTCACCCCTCTGAGCCTGCCTTTTCCCCCTGTAAGGAGGGGCTGGGGCTCTTGTGAGGATTGAAGAGATAAAGTAACCCGTGCAAAGGAGGCAATGGGTGACTGGAGATCACTCCTCAGACCACCGCCTGGCTTGCTGGTGACCCCTGAGAAGAGATTGAAACCCTGAAATGTCTCTCCTCCTCAGAGCACTCTGCTATTTGGTCCTGAAGCAGTACAAGGAAGCAGTGAAGGATTGCACAGAAGCCCTCAAGCTGAATGGAAAGAATGTGAAGGCGTTTTACAGACGGGCTCAAGCCTACAAGGCACTCAAGGTAAAAAGATCCTGACCAAAGGCACCAAGTGAGCTACAGACATTTGTGCCCGTGGTGGCACTTCCAGAGCACCATCAAGGTGAGGTGGTGTCTGCCACGTCTCTTCTCATCCAGGGGCCCCAGGGTAGCTCAGGGCAGGCCTACAGGCTGGGGTTTGAAAACCCTCTGCCATTTCACAGCCATCCCCACCCCCATGATCTCGCCTCAGTCAGGGCGCTGTCCCACACCCTTCTCTCTTCCATTAGGACTATAAATCCAGCCTTGCAGACATCAGCAGCCTCCTGGAAATTGAGCCCAAGAACGGCCCTGCACAGAAGTTGCGGCAGGAAGTTAATCAGAACTTAAACTAAAAACCCAAAAGGAAGCAGGAAACCTCTGCCTGACCTCCTTCCTCTGGGCCTGCTCCTGGTACCCAGCATGCCCCCGAGTAAGCTCTGAAGTACCCTGCTCTGCCCCTCAGAAAGATGAGGGCCTCCCACTTCTTAAGAGGCTTTGCTTGTTCAAATTAAGCTCAGTGTCGTCAAAAACCAGACGTTGTTGTTTGCTGGCAAGGTCCCCGCTGGAGCGGAAGCCCCATTCCCCCTGCCTTGGACAGCTAGCGGATCACACAGACGGATTGTTGGCAGCAAAGCCCTTGGCTCTGTTGCTGCCCCACGCATGCTCCAGACCAAGTGCTGCCCTCCTAGCTTCCCCAGACCTGCCCCACTGTGCTTCATCCGAGCAAACTGAGCTTGGGGTGGGGGGTGAGGGAGAAACTAGAAAACCCTGGCCCACCTGCACCCAGAGCAGCCTGTTGAGCTGGTTCTCCAGGGCTGCTGCCTCCTGCATGGAGTTGCGTAAGCTGTTTTAATAGCCTGGAGGTCTGGCTGCTCCTCCTGAAGGTGGGATGGGGAGGAAGGCCTTCTTGAAGTTAGTGCCCTTCCTGTCTGGGCAGGGACTTGCCTTTTGACCCCAACAGTGGCCTCCTCCAGGTTTCTTAGTTGTTTGTAATATAAAGTTAATTTGAATGGAAGCAACTCCGATTTTGTTGAACTGCGTGTTTAAGCTATTGCATTAAACGTCTTTCTTCTACGTAAATGTCTGCTGTACTTTCATTTATGCTTTTTCAGCTTTGTGCTTGGAACTTTGCAATAATAAAAGCTGCTGCTTACTGAGCATTCATCCTTTCATTCAGCCAGCTTCCTGAAATGTCTGCATGGGCCAGGCTCTGTCTAGTGCTGGGAGACTGAATAAATAGCCACGGTCCTGCTCTCAGAGGGCTGACAGTCTAGTGGACAGCAGGAAGTCACTCAGTCCCAGGACAAGTGTAGAACTGCAGCCGGCTCAAGCATTTTAAAGGAGTTGTCACATGATGCTTTCCCTGCCTAGTCAGGGAGATCAGACCCGTGGAGGGAAAGGGGGCCCTGAGGAAATAAAGCTTGACTTGAGTTCTCACGTGGGAGTAGCTGGGGAAGAGGGCAGGGAAAGGCGATCCCAGCAGACGGAACAGTGTTTGGAAAGGCCCTTGTTGGGAGGACAGGTGAGCACAGGGACCAGATGGTGCCACTCCAGTTCACAAAACGTGGTGGGTGAGGCTGGAGAGAGCCTGAGGATCCAGCCAGAACTAAGGGCTGCCTCCCCTTCCCGGGCTGTGTCCTAGTTTAATTATCTTCCCCTTGATGAAGCAGAAGTTTGACGACTCCACATAGCAGGGCAGACGGCGCTTCTCACTGTCCCTTCGCTCCCTATCACGTACAGTGCTGAGCAACACGCAGCTGTCAGCACACTGCTTCCGGCCTCTGAAGGACGAGCAATCACAGGCCTCTGAGCTGAAGCGATCGTCGAGTCCAGACCGACTCCAGGGTGGGGCCAGAGAGCCATTTCAAAGCAGGGAGCTGTGCCCCTTTCATTGCTGCCTCCTAAGCAGGCTTGATTCTTCCCTGCTTTGAGGCAGGTTTCATGGTGACAGCCAGTCACAACCGACTGACTTTCTCTTCGAGGTCTAGAAGGTAAGTATCTTGATTTACTAATGAAAACATAGGTGAGACCAGCATAACGTGAAGAGGTTTTTCCTCCCTGCAGGGCAGGAAAACCATGACCTAAAGCATTTCTACCAGGGTTCTTTATTTTATTTTTTGTGAGGAAGATCAGCCCTGAGCTAACATCCATGCTAATCCTCTTTTTGCTGAGGAAGACCAGCTCTGAGCTAACATCTATTGCAAATCCTCATTTTTTTTTCCCCCCAAAGCCCCAGTAGATAGTTGTATGTCATAGTTGCACATCCTTCTAGTTGCTGTACGTGGGACACGGCCTCAGCATGGCTGGAGAAGCGGTGTGTCGGTGCGCGCCCAGGATCCGAGCCCGGGCCGCCAGTGTGGAGTGCGCACACTTAACTGCTAAGCCACGGGGCTGGCCCTCTACCAGGGTTCTTTAATTTTGTTACACAGCCCCTCAGTCACCCTGGAGCCCAGAAGCAGTTGCTGCTTTTGGGGCGTTTACCTGCCCTCCAGGTGCTCAAGTTGGCATCCGGATGTAGGCCCCTGTAGCTTTAGTTGGTTTTCTCAGGGCTGTGTGATGACAGCCCTTTCGTCATGCACTGCACCACTGGTGGGTGGTAGTGCCACTTTGGGGCCATTACAGATAGTCCTGCTCAGTCCCTGGCGCTCTGTGCTGGTGCATACACCCTCTGTACTTCAGCACACGTTTGAGTTTCTGTTCCTCAGAGCCAAAGCTCCAACCCAGTCAAGTCTATCCTCTGCTCTGCCCCACCTCCCTCAGACACAAGAAGGCCTCCTGGGAGACAAGCCACAGTTTGCAGCACTTTTAATGCACAAAGCAAAAGGTAACAGGCTGGCTGGGTGACCAGCCCTCATTCCACATACACAGCTCAAGGAAAGGTGCAGCCCAATTGGGAAATAAGTTAGGGTTCACAGGGCCTTCGAGCCAAGAGCAGGAACGCTGTTCTCTCGTCAGCCAAGGGCGTGAGGATGCTATTTTCTGGGGATGAAAGGGTAAAAATAAATGTTTCTCAAGTATGGCAAACACCTGGTCTTCAACTGAGAACATGGACTAGGCCAAGCCAGGCTGTGCCCTGGGAAAGCCCAACCTATTGTGAGTGAGGCCAGGCTGGGCAGCTGGCAAGGGAACACCTTCTTCACTGTGCACGACACACCACCATTCCAGTCACCATCTGTCCTTTCCTTTGGTCCCTTCACAGCGCCCCCAAACTCCTCGGTACCTCAGAGAAAGCCAGTGACAACACGGTTGTTGGTGCGTTTATGAAAGCCCGTCCCCACCCAGTCCTTTACAGCTTCTCCTGGGCTCAGCTGCTCCTGTCCCCGTTCCACCCACCTGGCTTCAGTGTACATTCACTGTCGTCTGCTCCGTGGCCTGGTGTGCCTGCAACACTGCCAAAGCCTCTTCTACCTGTGGGACACAGTGGGAGGGTCTTAGTGCAGCTGCCCCAGCGGGGTCCCAGGAGAGCCGTGACCTCCCCCTGCCTCAGCATGCTAGATGCAAGAACTCCCCTCCCTCACAGCGTTTCTACGGAGCCCTCATCTGACTGCTGCTTCAAGCTCCCATGACAGAGACGGTCACCTTCTCAAGACAGATGTACACTGCTGGACAGCTGGGAAAATCTCAGCCCTTATACCGAGTCAGAACACAGCTCCTTGTACCAAAACCTTGCCTACAGAGCTACAGAGACTCTGGAGGGGCTGACGTAGCAAACCCTTAATTAAGGCCTTCTCCCACTCCACGATTCAGCAGTATTAGCTGGTTTTAGCAAGGAGATAAACTTCCTCTGTCCAAGCAGCAGCCTACCAGCTCATCTAGGAGACGCATTTGTCCCTAGCTTTCCTCCCGCCCTCTCAGGGCTCCCTGCCACCCAGGCTCCAGCCGACCTTGGCATTGAGGGACTCTGGAGACTCCAGCATGAGGAGCAGCTCCGAGTTGTCGATCTCTAGCAGCATGCCCGTGATCTTGCCAGCCAGCTGGGTGTGGACATCGTAGATAAGGGGGTAGAGACGCTCACCTGTATGGAACAGCCTCTGATGGCTTATGCACACACCTGGCTGATACCCAGCATCCCAGGGGTGGTATTGTGGAATAGAGCAGTGAGACATCTGGGTTGTCCCAGAACTGCTCCTTCCAGGCTGTGTTACTCTGCCTTACTGGGAGCCTCTTGCCCAACCATAAAGCAGGCAGAGCAAACCCCGCCTTGGAGGCTAGTTTGCAGAATCCAATTTGATATTATAGTGAAGTAATCTGCATAGGGTCTGACACAAAGTTGGTTGCTATTTAAAGACTACTCTTGTTCATTTTGCAAGAAATGATTCCAAATATACACACTGAAATTCTAGACAGGATATGACAATGCTGAGTTTGACTTTTTTGGGGGTGGTGAGCCAAATACATGAGATAAGTTCACCTTCCACCATCAGGTACTTCCAGTGACAAGGCCTAGTGCTGGGGGTCAGCCCATCTGGGCACTGGGTGGAAAGTCCAGTCAGGATGGGGTGCTGGGGTGCCTTAAATGGGAGTGGGAGACATTTTCCCAAAAGGAAAGTAAAGATGTTTAAAGGGAACTGCTAACAGAGACTTCTACCTCCATTAAGCCCATTTAGGATTTTTCTTTGAGAAGTGGGTAGTAAAGTGGCAAAATCCCAAGTGAGCTGAGGAAACAGTGGGGTGGTGGCAATGGGGGCCTTCAGAGAAGGGTCTGGAGATCTTGGTGGCCATGAAAAACAGAACCTGCCAACTAGCAACAAGCTGGGTCATTCATTTGACAGTGCATCCTTTAGCAGGGCCCATCATAGACACTGGGGATGGAGATGAATTGCACAAAGAATTCAGGGTCCAGTGGGGAACAATATTTATCCACCTGATGCACATTTATTTCCCACCTCCCTGCAATGGGCCCTGGGAGACTGATGAGATGTGGTGACAGCTTCTTTCCGTTCAGGGGAGGTGTGAGGAAACTCGACACCTACCTTATGGGCCATTTCCCATCACAAACCCAAGACCCTACCCTAACTCCTCCTTCTGGCCCCTGATCTCCCCACATCTGGGGTCTCTCCCAGCCCAAGTCCAAGTGATACAACAGCAGAGCTGGAAGAAACTTCGGGATCATCTGATCACTGTTAGTGTTTTAAGACGAGAACAGGGGCCTCGAGAGTAAAGGAGTCTAGGGCAAGGTCACCCAGCAGGTTGGTCAGCAGCAAAGCTGGACCTTGTCCTCACATCTGCCCTCTACTCAGGGTGTTTCCCACCAGGCTAGTCAGCTCTCGGCCCCCCTCTTCCTGCTCTGAGTAGGGGAACCAGCCACTCACCAATCATCTGCTTTTGCTGGTGCAGTGGCGCTGCGGCCAGCACGGAGGCAGTCAGGGGCTCCTGTCCCAGGATGCGCACAGCAGGCTCCTGGACCTGCACATGGTGCCGGAGACACATCCCTTACCCACCACGGACGGGCAAGGCCTCGAAACACTTAACCCTGTCGGGTGAGCACAGGCCTAAGGAAGGCTCTGGAAGAGGAGCAGGGGGCACAGTATGGACGATCGGGTGGGACAGAGTCCCCAACAAGGGTATGGTGGACTGGATGACAGTGTTACACTCTAACGGTAGACGTTTTCCGTGATGCTAGGAACCTGTAAAGGTCCCCGATGCTTGTCAAATTAAAGCCACACATTAACCAATCACTCTGTGACAAATAAAGCACTTTTCATCAAGTAGCTTTATGGCCACATCCCCAGCATACTTCTGACCCTTTCACATCTCTGTAGCTTTTTAAGCTTTTTGCTGTTTAAAGGCTACTCGTATTTACACACTGCTTCTAGACAGGAGATGATAATGCTGAGTTTGAGACTTTAGCGGGGCAGGGAGATAAATACACAGCCTTTTAACTTAATGACAGTAGGTATTTTCAGTTGTTTTGCAGATCAATCACATATTTGCTGCTCAACACATAAATACTAAGGAAATCCAAATTAATTTTGATAACAACCCAGGCAAAGCAAATCATGATTAATAAACAAAATGTGATCCTGGATCTTTTTCCCCTTCTGTTAGTAAGGGTGATCTCTTCTTGATTGTACATGTTAATAAATGAACTTTACAAGCCAAGAAAAGAAAGAAAACCAAGGGCCAGAGAAGGCCACCCCCTTAGCCAAGGTTCTGAGCCAGCCGCCCAGAGCCTGGATGAAGAAGGCAGCTGGGCCAGCCTTACCCGATGCGTGTTGGGCGTTGCCAAGGAATATCCGTGTGTCAGGAGAGGCCTGCCTGGTGTAGAGCATCCTGCCCCATCGGGTCCTGGAGTCTGGGTACCAATGTTGGCTGTAAGAAATAAGCAGGGACATCAGGGCCAGGCAGCAACGGAAAGCCATAAAGCCTAAAGCTGAGCGTTCACGTACAGGATCCCCAGTGCTGAGTACGGGGCCAGCACACAGATGTGCAAACATCGGCTGAATGAAGGAACAGCTGTGCCTCCCTTATAGCCCAAACCTGCGCCTCGTTCACAGCTGCCGCAGGACCAACTCCGATTCACATCTGGTGCTAAGCCCTTGCATGTGTGCTCTCCTTCACCCTCACAACAAACCAGGGGTACTATTTTCATGCTTATTTTAAAGATGAGGCCATCAGCTACAGTAGTTAGCAAGGCTACAGAGTGAGTGAGCCCTAGGAATTGGGGCTGTGGGACTCTGGAGCCCACACTACTATGCTACACAGCCTCTCCAAGAGGGCAAACGGCAAGGTCACCATGGAGGCCAATTCTAACTCCCCACCAGTGCCAACCCAGCACCGACCCCCACCCCACCCTCCTTGCACACCCATTCCTCTTGGCCCTGCCCACACTCACCCACTCTCTGGGTGTGGGGCACCAGGCACGGCACCTGGCTGGAGACCTGCCTCACACTGCTGACCTGGGCCAGGGGGCGCCGAGACGTGGCTGGTGGCCGGACCACTGAGGCAGCTGGAGGGTAGGCGGCTTAAGGTGCAGAGAACATGGAGAGAGAAAGGTTGGCGGGGGGCAGGGGTGGGAGGATAATCAGAGTGGCGCACTGTGCCCTGAAGGTTCCAGAGTGAGGAAGAGAATGGGAAGGGGAACTAGAACATTCCCAGCAGAAAGATGAATGAATGAACCTAGTCAGGCAGACCCAGAACTCCAGGGAAGAGGGTGTAGATGTCTGCAATCACAATGCCAGCTGGTGTCTACCCAGAGCCCAGGGTGCACACACCTTAGTCCCCCAAGAGAGTTTCAGGTCAGGGTGAACTCACTCCTAGAGAAGGGCCATTCATCAACAATACAGCCAAAGAAGTTGCGTTTTCTCAGCTTTGCAAGACTTTTCACATCACACATCACAAGTCTTTGGAGCTAACTGAAGAGAATGGCCACTCTGCAAGTCTTGGACCGGCTCAGCACTATGCCTGGTGTTACACACATCTCATTCAGGCCCACGTTCAGAAGAGGAAACTGAGGCTCAAAGAAGTGAGGTTACCCACCCAAATTACCACCCTGGGAAGTGGCAGAGCCAGGTTGACCCCAAAGCCCATGTTCTTAACTATGATGTTACACACTGCCCCAAGGGGCCCACACCCGTGGGCCAGGCTGAAGGTGGAAGGGGCTAGGTCACTCACATGAGGGTCTGGGCGGCTGGGCCGTCCACCTGGGAGCAGGCTGCATGGATGGGCCTGAGCCATAGGGCTCAGCCTGGGCTGGAGGCTGTGCGGGAGAAGATGACCCAGAGTCAGGGGCTGCAGCAGGAGAGCTGGGAAACCGCCTCCCCTCAGGGACGCCACTGCAGGAACTTCACTTTCCTCCCCCAGGGACTGGTTAGTAAAGGCCCACCAGGCTGAAGGCTCCTGCTTCCCATCTCAGGATGCCCATTAGCCCTGAGCCCTTCAGGGAAAGATCTTAGGTTCATCCTTGCCCCTTGTTATTAGAGCCATGAGCCTAATGATCCGGATAAAATGGTGACACATCCTCCTCTAACTTGTGCCAGCTCAAGCTACTGCTAAAAGGAGCGGGAATGTTCCCATCCCACTAGCCAGATGGCTGACATCTTGCTACTTCCTCTAGGTCACACGAGCTCCTTTCCCAAACCATGTTCCTCACAACATTAACATCCAGGAGAGATTTCAGCAGATTCTCACAAGAAATGACCATCTAAGTCGGGGAAATGCTACATACTCTGCTGGTTGCGGAAAGTCATAAAGCATCCTAGCATGTTAGGATAGAATGATGTATATAAGAAATCTAGGCTTCTTTTGTTTAATGCAATATTTCCCGAACTTATTTGACCATAGAGAATCTTTTTTTTTTTTTTTTTGCTGAGAAAGATTCGCCCTGAGCTAACATCTGTACCAATCTTCCTCTATTTTGTATGTGGGACGCTGCCACAGCATGGCCGCTGATGAGTGGTATAGGTCTGCGCCCGGGAACCGAACCCGGGCCGCTGAAGGGGACTGCACCAAACTTAATCAGTAGGCCACAGGGCCAGCCCTAGAGAATCTTTTTCAGCATAATACTCACGAATCTCTCTCCGACTGGGAAGTGCTGTTTGACTCCCTTTTACCAATGGGGTTAACATGGCCTGCCCAGTCTGCCCGGGAAGCTCCACCGACCTGCTCTACCAGGCTACAGGGAAAGGTTGTGGCAGGGGTGTGGGCAGGCTTCACATCACCTGGGGCACGGCGGGCAGGAAGTAGCTGGTGGGCTGCTGGAAGGAGCCCAGGAGCGGGCCGCCCAGGGCCCGCACGGTGGAGAGGCGCTGCATGTACTGGTTGGTCAGGATGGCCTTCCGCTCCTCTTTACGCTGGGCCAGCGCCACGTACAGCGGCTTGGTGCCAATGATGCGCCCGTTCATCTCTGTCACAGCCTTCGTCGCCTCTTCTGGAGAGGAAAAACACACAAAGCCAAACCCCTTGCTGTGGCCACCCTCTGTCATCACCTAAAAGCAAGACAAGACAAGGTCTGCTGGGGGCGGGGAAGGAAGACTCCTGGGGCCATGCTCCCCACCTCCCCAGGGCCCAGCCCAGCACTGAGCAGGCCCAGGAGAAACTGCAATCGAGGGGTGTCCTGTCACCCCCACATTTACTGAGGCCCACCGCATGCCAGACACTGGCCACGCCTTCTCACGCACAGCCACCTGATCAGGGAGGCACCACAACTCCCACTTCACAGGTGATGAAAGTGAGGCTCAAGAGTGACTTGTCCAAGACCAGTCCACCGGCTAATTGAGGGCTGCTCATCGTTTAACAGACCAGTCCCCAGAGTCAGTGAGAGCAGCTGCATTTCAGAATGTATTTTTATCTCAATTCTTCCCAAAAAGATTTTCCTAAGTGGTGATGGAAAGCTGGCTTCAATTGTTACTGTATCTGCCTTCACCAGAGGGGCTACAATGAAGCGAGATGGTAGTCTAGGATTGGTTAAAATCTAAGAACAGGGCTGGTTCTAAACCAGGGCCACAATCTTTGCACATTTCAGTTGAGGTCACTGTGATGAAAATAATCTACATTTCAACTACTCCTTGGGTTCTCTTTAACGACCCATACAATTCTTTAGTTCATTTGTGAATTATGAACAGAGCTGTATTTATTAGAGACTCCAATAAAGATTTATATTTGCATGGAATATGAAAAAAATAATTTGAATTTATATTTTTGGGTACTTTATTGTTAATTTTCTTTAATAGAAATAAAAGTCCTATTACCATTAAAAAAAAAAAAGTGACTTGTCCAGGGTCATTCAGCCAGTGGGTCATACATTAGGCAGGACTTGAACCCAAGGCACCATCCTGGTGAACCTCTATTGCCTCTGTAAGGCACTCAGCCAAGTCCTTTAGGAGTCTGGGGAGGAGGTTCTTAGCCTATTTATTAAAGGAGTCTTTTTATTTTGGAATAACTTTAGATTTATAGAAAAGTTGCAAAAATAGTAGAGTTGCTGTATATCTTTCACCACGCTTGCCCCAATGTTAACATGGTATATTTGTCAAAACTACGATATTACCATTGGGACAATACTATCAATTATTAGCTACAATATTAACTACAACGCTATTAACTGAACTGCAGGTTTCACTCAAATTTCACTAGTTTTTCTAGTATTATTTTTCTCTTCCAGGAAAATCCACATTGCATTTACGGTCCTTAATATTTTTTAGGGTCAAGACACTGGCCTGGCTGTCACACTCCATGGGACTTGAGCTGAGATAATTTTTAAACCTGCTGTCTTAGAGCTCTTGCTCTGCATCAATGATTTTCAAACCACACTTTGCTACCCGTCAGTACAGGGGCCTTAACCTGCCAGTTCACACATCCCCTCAGGGAGGTCAGTGGATAGATTTCAGGGAGTCTGTAAATTTGAATGGGGTAAAAATGGCAACTTTATTTTCATATTAGCATTTCCTTCTATTTTGAACGTAGGCAACAAAAATTATCATAGTCACATTAGCCACGCTTGTGGCTTTGTCAGAAAGAGAAATCAAATCTTTTCATATCAAATTATTCCTGATCTTAAAATATCATTTATGCTAATTGCTCCTTCACCCGATCTGATAGTTTGATGCATTGAGAGGCATACCGCCATCACCTTAGTATTTTGATAATTTCAATATAATTGTTTAATTAATTCTATGAATTTTCTTTTATGCATTTAAAAATATTCTCAGAAGGAAGGGGTCCATAGGCTTCAGACAGCCAAGTTTTCTTGGCACAAAAATATTATCTTAAGTTAATAAGAATTTCTATTAGGTAGTAAAAAATAAAATAAAACGATAAATTTAGTACAACTAACACTTATGCAGAGCTTACTGTGAACTTGATGGCATTGGGAGCACTTTATATATATTAACTCAATTTTCATAATCACTGTATTTTATAATAGACAATATATTAAATTATATAAATAAACATATAAAATCCCCATTTTATAACCTGTTTGATCAATTAACAAAACAGTCACCCCAGGTGTGCCTGAACTGTAAGCAATCCGGATTTTTACAGTCCCCTTCACTCAAGGGGTCCTCAAGGAGGCGGGTGAATCTCCTGACATTACATGCAGCCTGTGCGAGCCATCGGAAGTCATTATTTCCCTCCTTACTGTGGGCGGTGCTCTGCATGCAGGCTCCTCAGCTCCCGGGACACCTCTAGAGGCAGGTACTGCTGCTCCCATTTTCCAGAGGGGTAAACAGTGTCCACGGGGGCAAAGTCACTTCCTTCAGGTTCTACAGCTACTTAACGGTAAGACTGGGCTTTAGACTCAGTTTCGATTAACTTTAAAATCCCAGCTTTCGACCACAATACTACACCAAGCATGCATCTGCCAGGAGAGAGGGCCCATGGCTTTTCACAATGTTTAATTGAATTTACTGATGCTTAATTTACATGTCCCACAGCTTTCTGTCACAGTTTTTCCAAAAGGTCCTTAATTAAAAAATTGTTAGAACCTCTTCCCCAAACACCAGGCTCCCGGAATGACATTTAGAATTGGATTCAATGGGCAAAAGAACTTCTAGATCACTTCCTAAGAATTCAACCTCACATCAGATGCACAGGTCCCCAGCCCCATCACCCACACTGATCTCTTTGGAAAGTTCCTCATTTGCACCTGTAGCTCCCTACCTCCTCACAGCCAAGTCAAACACTGCTGCCATTGCCACTTCTTACAGGAAGCCCTCCTTCCTGTTCCACTGAGCTACCTCAGCTCAGCCTCCAATACTTACTCCCCCCCACCACACACACCTTATAATAGATTTTAGTGATGTGTCTAACTTCCCCACTAGACTATAAGATACTCAAGGGCAAGGACCATGTCTGATTTGTTCCTGTATCCTTCCCACAGAGCCTGGTAAAACAGCAAGTGTTTTAAGTATGGAATGAATGAACACTGGATTATCGTAAAATCATTTGGAGCTTTTAAAAATAAAATGCCCAGGGGGCCGGCCCAGTGGCATAGCGGTTGAGTGTGCATGCTCCACTTCGGCGGCCCGGGGTTCACAGGTTCAGATCCCGGGGCGCACCAACACACCGCTTGTCAGGCCACGCTGTGGCGGCGTCCCATATAAGGTAGAGGAAGATGGGCACAGATGTTAGCCCAGGGCCAATCTTCCTCAGCAAAAACAGGAGGATTGGCATCGGATATTAGCTCAGGGCTGGTCTTCCTCACAAAAATAAAATAAAATTAAAATAAAATAAAGTGCCCAGGCCCTACTCTCAGAGATCTACAGTTAATTTGTCTGACTCAGGTGTCTGTATTAAGAGCTCCCAGGGGATTTTAATGAGAAGCCAAGGTTGAACACCATCCAGCAAGCCCAACATGCTCATCTTATAGAAGAGGCTCAGAAGACATTTGCTCAGGGTCACAGAGCTACTGAGTAGAACAGCCAATCACATCTCAGATGCTAAGAGGGCTGGGCACAAGGTAAGTGCTCAATAAATGGGGAAGAATAATGCAGCCCAAACGTCTCATTTTCCAGATGGGGAAACTGAAGCCCAGAAGGGATTATGTCACCGTCCAAGGCCACATCACAAAAGTCAATGGAAATTCTGAGACATGAATTTCTGGAATCTGGCATACAGTAGGCACTCAATAAATGCTTGTTGAGTGAACCAAGGTTACAGTGAGCCCCAATAAGTCCAGCTGTGTGACTGGGACTGTATTTCTACCCTCTTCCCGGCCAGCCCAGACAAGGCTGCAGGTGGACAAGCTCCAATGGTGTCAAACACAGCCCCCCAAACTCCAAAAGGAGTCATCACCAATTCCCCGGAAGCCACAGTGTGGGGATGGAGGGGTGTGCAGCAGTGAGAGGGTGGGAGGGGAAGGCTATCTATCCCCCCGTAGGTGCCCCCAGCCCTCACCTTGGCACTGGTAATCACTCCAAAGGGAGAGAACTCTTTCCTCAATTTCTCATCATCGATGGAGTCATCCAGGTTCTTCACATACAGGTTCACACCCTGGAAGGAAAGGACACTGTAGATGCGCCCCTTCCCCTCCAGGCCCAGACCAACTTGGGTGGGGGAGGGGGCCGTTACCTGGAAGCTGCAGCCCCCCCCCCCCACACACACACAATCCCTAAAGCCAAGTTCTCAGAAGTGGGACTGCAAGAGGAAGGAGTCATTCAGGGCCCTCCACAGACACGTTTCACACAGCAGCAGCTGCTGCCCAGAGGCCTGACCCGCACCTGGTGGCGGTTCAGCCGGTCCTGCTTCACCTGCTCGAACCTGCGCTTCAGCTCGCTCTGCCGCTCCACGCGCTTCTGGGCCCGGCCCACATAGAGCAGCCGCCCGCTCACCTCCTTCCCATTCATGTCCATCACAGCCTGCGCAGAGGAGAGGCAGCGAGAGGACGTGGTAACCGTCCCACCAGGCTCCGGCCGCAGCCTTGGCCTCCCATTCCACCTTCTGGGCCTAGAGACGGCCACCTACAAGCCAGGCGGGCCTTGTTAGCTGAGAATAATTAGTACCAGGATAAAAAAAGTGAGCCCACTTTTAAAAAACATGGGATAAAATTTCAGAGTAAAGTATAGATTAAAAAAATTTGATTTGGGCTCAACTTTAAAAAGTGAAATTCAGGGCCGGCCCCGTGGCTTAGCGGTTAAGTGCGCGCGCTCCGCTACTGGACGCCTAGATTTGGATCCCGGGCATGCACCGACGCACCGCTTCTCTGGCCATGCTGAGGCCGCGTCCCACATACAGCAACTAGAAGGATGTGCAGCTATGACATACAACTATCTACTGGGGCTTTGGGGAAAAAAAGGAGGAGGACTGGCAATAGATGTTAGCTCAGAGTCGGTCTCCCTCAGCAAAAAAGAGGAGGATTAGCATGGATGTTAGCTCAGGGCTGATCTCCCTCACAAAAAAAAAAGAGCTTAAAAAAAAAAAAAAAAGACCAATGCCCAGAGAACACCCAAGGAGACCTTAAGCCTTCACACCAGGCTGACTAATGAAGGTCTACCATCCCATTGGGGTTTTGGGGGGAAAAAAAAAAAAAAAAAAACTTAAAAAAAAAAAAAAAAGACTTAAAAAAAAAAAGTGAAATTCAAATGTGCCAAGTTTCCCATATTTAACATTTAGGTTCTTGCTGTAACTACAAGGATTATTTGAACAAAGCAACAAACGTAATTCTTTGAAAATGGCATGACAGCATAATCAACATTTTTCACTTCATGCCGGGTTTCAAAGCACAAAGAATCCTTTTTGCTACCTATGAGGGCTTTAGTTTTTTTAGAAACATTTTTCTTAACCCTTTGTTGATTTTTCTTTTCTTCAGTTAAGTGGCCTAAGCCTGCCAGATCCTAAATTGTCAGTGGCTTTGATTGCCTGAAATCTCATATCTTCTGCAAGATGTGCAACTTCTCTCTGCAATCCATTTATACTGAACTGAAATTTGCATCGACTTATCTGCAAAAATCAGCAAAAGGCAGACCTACGTGTGTACCGACTCAATGGTTAGAATTAGGCACTGGTGTTAGTGGGGAGAAATGTTTGAAACGGAACTTTGTAAGTAGTCAGTTCATCAGTAAATATTTTCACATAATGATGACTTTTACATCCATATCCAAATATGCAAATATATGTAAATATACTCTGGGGACCCAGGAACTGCCTGTTCTACATCAGTCTGAAACGTCATTACCGAAGTCTCTAAGACCTTGGAGCCTAGGGACCCCTGCAGCTTCACCCAACTACTCCAGCTTATCATTTTACACTTGGGGACACCAAAGCCTAGAGGGAGGGAAGGACTTGTCCAAGGACACACAAGAAGTTACCCTTCAAAGGAGCCGTTTACTTAAGAACAAAACTTCAGAGTCAGAGAGAGCTGGTTCTAATCCCAGTGATCTCTCTTACTAGCTACAGCCATGGGGAGCCTGATAATAACAGTAGAGCCCACACTGGTGGGAGCAGAGATGAGAACGTATGCAAAACCCTTAGCGTAGTGCCTGGCCCATGGTAAGTGAGAAGTGGCTGCCATCAAGATGGCACCAGGATCCAGGTCTCCAGCCAGAACCCACCAGGGGCTCAGATCTTCCATGTCCAGTATCTTAATGGGGCAGCAACCCTGGAAAGATGCCCAAAATGACACTATGCCAGCTTTGTCACTAACTGTGTGACCTTGTACCATTCACTTGTTCAGAAAATATGTATCTGGCACCTACTGACAGGTACAATACTAGAGATTTACTGGTGAAGAGACCCAGCCTCCACCCTCAGGTCTAGCTCAGGAGTTCTGAGCTAACGATGGAGAGAGACACAACGGGCACCTCATCAGAAACATGTGAAGCAAGAAGAGGAGGCTTCTTGGAGGAAGAAAAATATGAGCTAAGACCTAAAGGGTAGGCACTTAGCAGTCTAAAGCTACACTTTCCAGTGTGGCAGTCACAGCCACACGCAGTACTGAGCACTTGAAATATGTCCAGTCTCAACTAACACGTGCTAAGTACCAGATTTCAAAGAATTAGTAGAAAAGGAAACGTAAACTATCTGTTTTTATATTGAATACACATTGAAGTGATATTTGAATAAGTTGAATAAAATATATTATTAAAATTGCAGTTTCTTTTTTAATCCTGTTTAATGTGGCTACTGGAAAATTTTAAATTGCACACGTGGCTTGTGTTATATTTCTTCTGGACAGCACTGGTCTAAAGAGTAGGGGAAGGGAAGTGTTTTGAGAAAACAGCATTTGCAAAGGCCTGGAAGCAAGCAATAACACGGGACTTCCCTCCCTGGCCTCAACCCCACCATCAATTCAAGAAGAGGGTAGTGGCTGTCTCAAAGGCCTCTTCTACCCTGTGTGTGGCAAGAATCTATGAAAAGAAGCCAGCCTCAGGGTTTGGAAGCAACCGAAGGAGGCTGAAGCCTTCTGCCTTCACCACAGGCAGGAAGGGCCCTGGCTTGTGTGGGCCCAGGCTGGGGAGGGACATTCCTTTCCTCCATGGGCAGCTGGAGCCTCCTGCTCCTGATCTCCCTTCTTCCTAGTCCTGACTCAGCACCTCCTCCAGGAAACAGGGCCACGAGGGCCTCCTACCTTCTGGGCTTCCTCATGCTTCTCAAAGTTCACAAAGCCAAAGCCCCGGGAGTGGCCGCTGTCATCCCTCATCACCTTCACACTCAGCATCTTCCCTGGAGAGGGCCGACCTGGCTCAAAGGGGAGTTTGGGAAGCCCCAAGAGGTCCCCCTCCCTTCCCACAAGTCCTCAGGAAGCCCAGGAGGGCCCCTCCTCCCAGCCCGACCCGGAAGTAGAAGAGGAGAAAATGGTCCCCTCCTCCCTTGGGGAACACGCCCACCAAACTGGGAGAAGAGATCCTGCAGGCCCCGCTCGTCCACGTCCACCTGGAGGTTCTTCACATAGATGTTGGTGAACTCCAGGGCCCGGGCCCCCAGCTCCGCCTCCCGCTCCCGTCGGGACTTGAAGTGGCCAACGAAGCTGTGGACACACTGACAGGGTAGGCAGCTGCCGGCCATCAGCCACCGCCATCGCAACCCCGGCCCAGCCAGCAACCCTGGGCCACTGGGGTCAATTGCTGCCCGCCCCCAGGCCTCTGTATCCCTCGTCAGGAGACTGGGCAGGGCAATACGGTCATGCGCCCCATAATGACCTTTCGGTCAATGATGGACCACATAAACGATGGTGGTCCCATTAGATCAGTACCATATAGCCTCGGTGTGTAGCGGGCTATACCATCTAGGTTTGTGTAAGTATACTCTACGATGCTCACACAAGGACGGAATTGCTTAACCATGCATTTCTCAAAACGTAGCCCTGTCATTAAGCGACGCATGACTGTACTCCTTAGACGGAATTCATCCAAGACCTGACCACCTCCAACAGCCAAGATTCTATGTTCTGGCATAAGGTAAAGAGGACTTCACTCTTGTTACAAACGCACAGGGAACTCCTACCGTATACCAGGCAGCTGAGTGCATAAGAGATAAGAGCATGAACTTGGGAGTCCCTTGGGAGGGTTTGAATCCTCGCTCTGCAGTTGCCTAGTTGTGTGACCCTGGGCAAGTTACTTAACCTCTCTGAGCCTCAGTCTTCATTTCTGTAAAACCAGGGATCAAACTCACATCACAGGGATTTCCTTATTCATTTCATACATACTGGGGGCACTGGGGAAGCATCGATGAAAGAACCAGACGTGGTCCATGCCAGTGTTGCTACGGGAGCAGGGACTGAAATTATTTAAATACAATATTAATTTAAAAATTGTAACTTCCAAGTTCATGTAAACACATCTAGGAAAGTATCCTAGATTAAGAAAAAAAAGCAAGCATAAGAAAATTTGACGGTATCTATAGCACATTTAGCACAAACAAGTTGTAGCTGGCACCAAAAATTGAAGAAAACTGAGTGGCAAAGGTAAATGGTAGGCAAATTGTTGCTCACAAAGATAACATCCTCCTGGGAATTGGGAAAAGCCTGCCAAGGTTCAGTCTCGTTGACAGGAGCCTCCCCTGAGAAACTCTGGACAAAATGACTCTGCATCCCCCAGCTCAAAGCCTCCGTCACTCCCCAGCGCTGAGCACAGGGCTGGGCCAGCAGATGGGCAGACTCAGAACCGGGGGAGGGGAGCTGCCAGAGCAGATTCTCTCCGGCATCTGCATCTCAATTATCCCATCTGTGAAGTGGGGATGATGCCAAATTTAAATTCAAGAAGATGGCAAGCTAAGCATATGCCTCCTTTCCTTCCTGTCCCCAAAATCCCATGAAACACAAAAGGTTTAAGAAAAAAATTCACACCCATGCTGATGAAATCACTGAGTCCATTGATGATTTGGGCATTAGCTGTTGCTGCTAGGATTTCAAAGTCATCACGTCATTTACTACTCAGAACCACCCTCTAATGCATACCAGCAGCCCCATTTTTACTTGAGGAAAGGGAGTCCCTGAGACATTGAGCGACTCGTCCTGGGTCACACTGCCAGGAGGAATGCTGGCTGCTGCCCGGGGCCTGGGGTGCGCTAGATGGTGGGCTGTGATTCTGTCCCCTCAGCCTCGGCCCCACCCCACATCCCACACTCACACTTTGCGGTCATTCAGTAGCATCCCGTTCATGGTGCTGATGGCCTGCTGTGCGGCCTCATGGGTCTCAAAATGGACAAAGCCAAAGCCTCGGGAGCCGTGATCGTCACACACCACCTGGGCCACAGGGAAAAAGGATAGGGAGAGCACTCGACAGAAGGTTCATGCACAAAAGACGGTACAGATGATAACGACTATTATCTGAGTGCTTGCTCTCAGAAATTATCACAGATATACATATCACAGATATTATTATCTGTGAAGACAATCCTATGTCACACAACAGCCCCATTTTAGAGATGGGAAACTAAAGCTCAGAGAGGTCAGTCCACTTTTTTCTTTTTAAAGAATTTTATTTTATTTATTTATTTTTTTGTGTGTGAGGAAGATCGGCCCTGAGCTAACATCTGCCAATCCTCCTCTTTTTGCTGAGGAAGACTGGCCCTGGGCTAACATCCGTGCCCATCTTCCTCCACTTTATATGGGATGCCGCCACAGCATGGCTTGCCAAGCAGTGCACTGGTGCACACCCGGGATCCAAACCCTCGAACCCCGGGCCGCCGCAGCAGAGCACGCGCACTTAACCGCTTGCGCCACCGGGCCGGCCCCTCAGTCCACTTTCTTAGGATCACACAGTAAGGTAGGATAAAGTCCTCAAACTGAACACAGGTCTCATTTATACCATAGATCATCTTTTAATTATCTTCCTAAGGTGACGGGCAAAAGGGTTAGATTCAAACCCTCAATCCTGCATCCTTATTTCTAACAGAAATTAGAAACAACCTGAGTACCCATCAAGAGGCGACTGGCTGAGTGAGTTACAGGACATTCATACGGGTATCCTGTATGTGTGCAGCTGAAGAGAACGTGGTAGATTACACAGCTGACATAGAGTTATCTGTGAGATACATTGGTAAGTGGAAATAAAAATCAAGTCCAGTTGGGTTAAAGTGGGCATCTACACACGGGAAAATTTTAAAGAGGCGCACACAACTGTTAACAATGATTATTTCTGGGGACTAGGGTTGAGAGGGACAGAGCCTTCTTTGCCACTTTATTCCTCTCCACATTGTTTAAACTCTACCAATTCATGTATTCTTTCAACGACAAATTTGCTTCAATTTTTTACAAGACCCACAACCATCCTACCCCCATTCTGTGAGCCTCCTAACTCAAGGTAGGAGGACAGAGCTTGAGAATGAGAAAGATCTTCAGCTCACGTAGCTCCCATCCCGCCGGTTGAACTTGCACTAAGAACCCTCACGCCCATTTCAAGGTGTCCGCGGCTCCACCCATCCCTGCAGCCACTGCCCGAGCTCAGCTCAGTGACATTTTCGGCCTGGATGACCATCCCATCGGAGCTCCCAACCCAGCTTCCACGCTGACCACTGGGATGCTCTTCCTAAAATGTCATTGTGACCATGTCCCTTTGGGACATAACCTCCTTCTATCCACAGACCTGTATCAGCTCAGCATTTGAGGCTCTCCAGCTGGCCCTGCACAAGTCCTGCTTCCAAATCCACACCCAACACACACCCCTCCACCTCTCCAGCCCCAAGTAGGGTCCTTCCACTTTCAACACAAGCCCCAGCTCTCCCACTCACATTTAATCACGTTGACTAGGTCCCTGCTCTGAGCCAAGCACCTGCTAAGGTCATCACACACTTATCTTGTTCTATTTCCATAAGAACCCTTCCAGGTAGCTCTTAACCTGAGCCCCAGCTGCCGGATTGGGGAAAATGGGAATAAATGACTTGTCCAAGGTCAGCCAGCCAGCAGAAGCAACTTTTTGATTATTACCATTACTTGTTTGATTATTACCACTTATATGCTTAAGAGGATACCAGGGACCCTTTCAAGGGCTATACCTGTTGTGAAGATTACCCGAGTTAATATACATTCACAACAACCTGTGTGATAGGTTCTACCACTGTCCCCTTTTAGAAGAAAATGAAGTGCGGCGAGGTTAAACAACTGGCCCAAGCTCACACTGTCAGGAAGCGGAAAAGGCAGGATTTGAACCTAGGACGTTTGGCCCCAAAGCCCACGGTCTGACTGACTACGTCGTGCTGCCTCTCTGCTCAGTGGCTGGGCTTTGCACATGGGTGGCCTGACTCCAGGTCTAGTGCTCTTCCCTCCGTGCTACAGAAATCCTTCCTGAGCAGCCACATGGTCCTCTCCTTCCTGGGCCTTTGACTACGTGGGTCACTATGCCTTTCCCTGAGAGCCCAACGCTGGCTATTCCTAAAAGTCTCACCCTCTCCACCAGCCTGAGAGCTCCCGGGGTAGTGACCACCTTGAACACCTCGTATATAACCAGGCTCACACGGGGCCTCATAAGGCTTGCAGAGACTTGCCTGAGTCATGCAGAGCTTTCTTTCCAACCCTCAGTGGCCCAGAGGAAGCCTCAAGGCCTGGATAATGGGGCCAGACATACTCGCCCCTGTTAAGTTAGCTTCAACTAAGCTGGCAAACCCATTGGTTCAAATCTTGGCTCTGCCTCTTACCTCCCACCCACATGTAACAAGTAACCATGGACAAGTGACCCCAGCTCTGAGCCTCCCTGCCCTCAAATAACTTAGGGATCCTATTTACATCTTAAGGTGCTGTTGTGGGAAATTCAATGGGGCCATGTATGCAGAAAACCCAGCACACAGCAAGTGCGTGATAAATCTGCTGTTATTATTCTAAGAACTTATCACACAGTTAAGACTCTCTCTTAGATCCTCAAAGACAGGACACAGCCCATTCTGTTTCTCTATCATGGAGAGCCCCTACCAGCTACCGTACCTCCTCGAGTCTGCCGCTCCTCTCGTTCACAGGGAGGTGGCGAGGCCTGAGAACTGAAGGACTGTGCCTGGCACATAGCAGTACTCAAGGAAGAGTTCCAACACAGAGGGTGCCATCACTCCCCCGACCCTCCCCAGAAGGGTGGTCACGCCAAAGTCTGCAGGGTAACTGACCTCTTTCTTCATAAAATCTGGAGGCAAAACACCCAGGTTCAAGCCCTCTGTCAGGACTGACTGACCCGCTATACGACCTCTGATCCTCAAGATCCTCATCTATGAAGCCAGAGAAATGACCAGAGCCCTTCTCCAATGATAATACAGCCACATGCTCAACGAATATTTATTGAGCACCTCCTGTGTGCCACATCTTATTCTAGGTACTGGAATGCGACAGTGAATAAGAACAGGATCACTACTTTTAAAGAACTTACATTCTCTTCTAAGAGACATCTTCAAAACAAGGGATGGCCATGATGGCCTCAATTAACGGCCTTCCTGTGTCCACGCCCTTTCTCTGATAATTTCTACTGTCCTCTCACTCTGAGTTTGGGCTGGTCTTGTGACACTTGCTTTGGCCAAGAGAACGCAGCAGAAGTGACGGTGTGCCGGTTCTGAGCTTAGGCTGCAAGACGCCCAGTGAGCTTCCACTCTGTCTCCTGGGACCCTGCCACTGCCATGAGAATAGCTCAGGCTAGCCTGCTGGGTGATGAAAGACCATAGGGAGGAAAGTCGAGATGTTCCAGCTGACAGCCAATGACTCCCTAGAAGGAGAGCCATCCAGCTCTCAGTGGACATAGGAATGAGGCCAGCCAAGACCAGAAGAGCTGCCCAGCCAAACTCAGCCCAAATTGCCAACTGCAGAATTATGAGCTAAATAAATGGTTGTTGTTGACAGCCACTAAGTTTTAGGGTGGTTACACAGCAAGAGCTGACTGATACACAGGTGACCTCTGATCGTTCTATGAAGATAAAACTGAAACAATAACTACCATTCAAGTGCTTCGTAGTTGAATGGTTTTTACCATTCAACTGGAGATTTACTGGAAAGACCCTGTGAACCGTAAAGCGAGGTGTTGTGTGGCATCCCTCTACCACGCAGGTATTAGACACAGACCCCCACCCCCAAAGAGGCACACCCACCTTGCAAGAGAGGATGTTCCCGAAGGTGGAGAAGGTGTCATATAAGGCCTTGTTGTCGATGGAGTCCTCCAGGTTCTTGATGAAGATGTTGCCCACACCTGACTTGCGAAGTCCGGGGTCTCGCTGGGACCACATGATGCGGATGGGCTGGCCTTTGATCACCTCAAAGTTCATTGTGTCCAGTGCCCGCTCCGCTGGACAGGAGAAGGAGAGAAAGGAGAAAGTTACAAGGACTTTCTTTTCAGGCAGGATGAGGAGAAAGAATTAATGTGTCTGGCGCTCCTCCTACCTCCCAGTTAGGATCTCATTTAACTCCTCACTGCAGCCACATGAGTATGGATTCCTATCCCCATTTCACAGAAGGGAAAACTGAGGCTCAGAAAAGGGAAATCAGTGGCAGAGCCAGGTCTACTGTGGTCTCTAAAGCCCACTAAGCAGACAAAAATATAAAGGAGAGTCCATATGACAAAGGGTGGCAGCAGTTTGAGGAAATTAAAGCTCAGAGGTGCTGAGCTGCAGAGCTGTGCTTTGGGGGAAGCTAAGTGAGCCTGTTTCTTCACCTGTAAAGTGAGGATGATAGAAATACTACCCATCTTTCCACATCTAACAAAGGGAGATGATACATTTACCTCCAGGCTGTCGGACAGGTTGGAAATTAAACAAGGTATGCAAGATGCCTTATTCTCTGCGCCTGGCACAAAATAGGTGTTTGGTAAATAGTAGTGTGTCTGAAGACAGCAGCCTATGCCTGTCCCCCTCCCGGGTCATATGCTGTTCCCTGCTTCAGGGACTCCTCAAGTTTCAGAGGCATGGAGGGGAACCGTGGAGAACTCGGCAGAGCAAGTTTCAGGAAATCTGAAGTCCTGCCATAAACACCCAGGGACAAAATCCTTCTCTTCTCTGGAGCTCAGTTTCCCCATCTATGAAGTCGGGCAATAAGGTCACGGGGTGCGGGGAGTGGAGAAGATGGAAGAGGCAGTGGGTATCTAAAGCAGAGCAAAGGGGAAGGCTCTCTGGGATCCAGCTCAGCCACCTACTGGGAGACAGGCAGAACCATCCCAGCAAACCCCCAGCCCAGGGAACCTCTCCAGCCACCCAGGAGACCCAGAGTAAGGGCACCTCTTTTGAACTTGGCTGGGGCAGGCCTTTTTTGGTTAAATTTGTAGTCTTACACCTGAACATTATGGTACAATTGTTTTTCTTAGGTTACCACCTATTGAGCATTTACAATGTACCAGATGATTCTGGAGATACTTCATAGACATGAGTCTCTATTCCTTCCATGCTATTCGGGAATAATAAGCCTTAGCCCCATTTTACAGACTGAGGTGCCGTGTGAAATCTTGCTCAAGCTCACACCCTAGTGGCAGAGCTCCAGCAAAACCAGGTGCTCTTAATCTTTATCCTCTCCACTCTTAACAGAAGCCTGGACACACCCATCTAGAAAGCTGTAATGAATACTATCATCTCTGAGAAAGCAGTTTTGGAGCCTGGACCAGAGGAGGATTTTTAGGGCTCCCCAAGGTGGAGGGCCCTGGTGCAGACCTCAAGTCTGGCTGCCAGGAAAAGGCGAGCTCAAGGCCCAGCTCTCCTGGCTTCCCCACTCATCTCTTTGTCCTCTCCCGCATCTTCCTCACCAGGTGCTTTGAATTTCTCATCCTCCCAACCACTCTCTAAGGCAGGTACGATCCTCATTTTTCACACAGGCAACTGAAGCTCAGAATGGTTGAGTAATTTGCTCCAAATCACACTGCCGCCGGTTTGCTAATCCCAGGTCTGCCTGACCCCAAAGCCCTTGGCTGTTTTCACTCAGCCTTAACTTCTCTCCTCTGTAAAAGGGAGCACCAGTAAAACACACAGTAGGCGCACACTAATTGCTAGTTCCTGTCCAGGGACCTCGCAGGGGCAGGGCCCCTTCCAAGGCCCTGCATCTCTGGGTCTGTTTCCCTGGCTGCAAAACGGAGGCTGCAGGAGCATCCAGGGATGAAAGCGTGGGTGGCCGAGATGCCGTCCGTCCGTCCGTCCGTCCCTCTCTCCCTCCGCCGGGGGCTCACCGTCGGCCGGCTGCTGGAAGTTGATGTAGGCGTAGCCCAGCGAGCGGCGGGTGGCCACGTCGCGGCACACGCGGATGGACAGGATGGGGCCTGCGGGCGAGAACTTCTCGTAGAGCATGGCCTCGGTCACGTCGGGGTGCAGGTCGCCCACGTAGAGCGAGGCGAGCGGGTAGCCCGGGCCGCTGGCGTTCATGATGCCGGGGCCGCGGGGCACCACCAGCCGGTCAGCGCGCGGCCCCGCGCTCGGCGCCCGCGTGCG